AGAATTGCCTGAACCCAGGAGGCGGAGGTTGCGGTGAGCCGAGATCGCGCCATTGCACTCCAGCCTGGGTAACGAGTGAAACTCCGTCTCAAAGAAAAAAAGAATGCCCTATAGATGGAGCAGAATGAAATCATGGCACACATACAGAGAACAGAAGTCTCTATCTTATATTTTACAGGACAGAGAATTTAGGAATCAAGCAGAGTGCATAAAGAAAAGGATTATTTGGGACTTGGAAAGTCGCTGCTACCTTGATCCTCCTGCAGTGGTCAGGTAAGAGGAAGGAAGTATGTCTAATCCACAAAGGCTTATAAGTGGGAAGAAGTGTTACTTTTGTTAATTTTATTTATATTTGAGTTAAGGTGATTTTCAATTGAGACTTTCTTATTTATCACATCTGTATGTTAGAGTGATGTTGTGTTCATCTGCTAATAATGGAAACACTCAGTGATGGTGGTTTAACCAAGGTGAGTGCTTACTCCTCTTTTACATAAAAGAAGTCCAGCTGATGCCAGCACTTTGAGAGGCTGAAGCAGGTTCAAGACCAAAGCAAGACCCTGGCTCTACACACAGACACACAGACACACACAAGACCAAACAAAGCAAGACCCTGGCTCTACACACAGACACACACAGACACACACAGACACACACACAGACACACACACACACACACACACACACGCACACACGATATCCAGGCTCCATCTTTCTTTTTGCTCCACCTTCTTTAATATGTGAGGTTGTCTTATGGTCCAAAGCTGGCTGCTGGAGCTGCAGCTTGCAGACTCACATTTCTGGCAGAAGTTCAGAAGAGGATAATGATTATGGATAAAAAAGGACACATGCTGGCTATCTTAAAACCTCTTGTGTAACCTTCCTGGAATCTGGCAACTTCTGTTTATATCTCATTAGCCAACCTCTGGATGCAAGAAGGCTAGACAATAAAGTATTTTAGTTGAACACATTGTCACCCAGGCCAAATCAAGATTTAAGTACTAAAGAACAGATATGCTGATATTGTGTAGGTAACTATCAGTCTTGGTCACACTGACCTGGTCATTAGGTAGAGATGAGAATTGGGAGATTATCAATCTATACGCAATCTGAATGAACAACTCTGACTTTAAAAAAAAGGATAGTCTGGTTTTTTAGAGCAGCTTTAGATTTATAGAAAAACTGAGCAGAAAAAATGAGCAGATATTTTAGAGTTTTTATATACCCCTGGTCCCCCACTTGGTCATGGTGTATAATTAATTAATTTTGTACATTGTTAGTTGGATTTGCTAATATTTTATTGAGGATACATTGTTGCCATTATTACTTTGAACAGATAGTTATTGGATCTATTAAGAATGAAAAACATGAAAAAATTTATTTTACCTTCATTTATGACATTTCCTGATGCTCTTTTTTATGTTGATACAAGTTTCTGACTCAAGTCATTTTCCTTCTCTCTTAGAGAAGGAAACTTATAGCATTTCTTGTAAGGCACGTCTCCTTGCCAGAAACTCCTCTAATTTTTATTTGTTCTAAAAAGAGTTTATTTCTCCTTCATTTTTGAAGGGTAATTTTAGTAGGTACAGAATTCTAAGTTGGTGGGTTTTTCTTTCACAGCTTTGAATATATTTCTCTATTCTCTTCTTCCTTCATGGTTTCTGAAGAGAAGTCCAATGTATTTCTAGTCCTTGTTCCTCTATAGGTAAAGTGTTTTTTCCTCTGGCTTTTTTTTAAGATTTTCTTTTTTGCAGTTTAAAAATGATATGCCTAGATAAAGTTTTTTGTTTGTTTGTTTTTATACTTAGTCTACCTGGTATTCTCTCAGATTCCTGGATCTGTGGTTTGGTGTCCGTAATTAATTTTGGAAAATTCTCAGCTATTATCACTTCAAATATTTCTTGCTTTTTTTTTCTTTTTTTTTTTGAGATGGAATCTTGCTTTGTTGCCAAGGCTGGAGTGCAGTGGCGTGATCTGGTCTCACTGCAACCTCCACCTCCCAGGTTCAAGTGATTCTCCTGCCTGAGCCTCCCTGAGTAGCAGGGATTACAGGCGCCCACCACCATTCCCGGCTAATTTTTGTATTTTTAGGAGAGACGGGGTTTCACCATGTTGGCCAGGCTGGTTTCGTACTCCTGACCTCAGGTGATCCACCCACCTCGGCCTCCCAAAATGCTGGGATTACAGGCGTGAGCCACCACGCCTGGCCTACTTCAAATATTTCTTCTGCTCTTTTCTTTCTTATCTTTCTGTTATGTCTAGTTACACCTTTTGTAATTGTTCCACAAGTCTTGGATATTCTGTTATGATTTTTTTTTTCCTTTGCGTTTCAGTTTGGGGCATTTCTATTCACATATACCCACGTTCACTGATTTTTTTTTTCCTTAGCGATGTCCAGTCAGCTGATAAGCCCATCAAATGAATTATTCATTTTTGTTTGTGTTTTTGATATCTAGCATTTCCTTTTGATTCTTTCTTAGAGTTTCCATCTCTGCTAACATTACCTGTCTGTTCTTGCATGTTACCTACTTTTTTCATAAGAGTCTTTAACATAATCATAGTTAGTTTAAGTTTCCTTTCTGATAATTCTAAAATCTATGTTGTATCCTAGTCCAGTTCTTATGCTAGCTTTGGCTATTTGGACTGTATTTTTTCTTGCCTTATAGCATTCTTCATAGCTTTTTAATTTGAAAGCTAGACATTATGTATTGGTTAATAGGAATTGGGGTAACTAGTATTTTTAGCGTGAAGTTTTATGTTAATCTGGTTAGAAGCTGGGTTGTGTTTCTTGTTTGTTATAGTTTTAAGTGTCAGAGGCTTCAGTTTCCTTTTCCTCCCCCCACCTCCCCTGTTATCTTTGGATTTGTCCAAGAACTTCTCTAACAGAGTGGTTTGTAGCCCTCTCAGTTGTAATTCATTGTTATTATGTTGAAACTCTGTTGATGTAGTGGCACATTGTTGGGAGGGAAGTATTCTATATATAACCTGTGATTAAGTCTCAGTAAATAGGTTTGGGTCCTTGGGCTGTGACTTTCAGAAGTGTTTCATAATCTTTTTTTTTTCTCCTATCCTTATGGAAGCAAGACAGGTTGGAGTTGTCTAAATTCCCTTCCCTGAGATCAGATGAAGATCTGGTAAAGTAGTTTACCTTAAAGGTCAACCCTTTGATAGGAAGAACACTGTGGCCATATTTCAAAATGGTTACTTTTCTTATCTTCCTGCCTGAAATATGAGGGTATTTTTCTTCCATCTTTACTGTGAGAACTTGGTGAGGCTCCTGGATTTAAAACTTACGTTAAGTGTGGGAACCCTTAACAGTGGGCCCTTGGAGTTTTTAACTTCCATCTAGTCCACTTAACTTCCATTCAGCCTATAGCAATTTGTCAAAATTACCATTAAACTATTTCTACCAGTTACCGGCACCACTGGCTTCTGCTGTCTTTAAGCTGATTGCAGCTGTGATCCTCTGTATTTTCCTGTCTCTCTCAATTTTAGGATAGCAGTTTTTGCCTTATGACCTCAGTTCTATGATGGATCTGAGAAATGTTGTTTATTTCCAGTTGATCAACATTTTTCTTTTTGTAAGGACAGGAGGGATTACTTCAAAGCTGGAAACTGGACACTATTTTCACCGTAGAAATAAACAATTTTATACCATTTGTAAACTTGTTTCATTATTTCTGTAGAATAAATCACTAGAAGTGGAATTTATAGTCAAAGATTATGGATTTTTTAAGGTTTTTAAATTTATGTTTCTAAATTGCCCTAAAAATGGTCAATTTGCCTCTGCTAGCAGTTGAGCAGAATTATTTTTGGAATGTTATAGATATGGGAAAGTTTTAAAAACCATCAAACTAATAAGGGTTTTTTTTTTTTTTTTTTTTTTTTTTTTGGGTCAAGGGGTTTTCTTTTTTTTTTTTTTTTTTTTCTGGAGCCAGGGTCTCACTCTGTGGCTCAGGTGAGAGTGCAGTGGCACGATCACGGCTCACTGCAGACTTGACCTCTTAGGTTCAAGCCATCCTCCCACTTCAGCCTCCCCAAATAGCTGAGACCACAGGTATTTGCTGCCATGCCCAGCTAATTTTTTTTTTGTATATTTCATAGAGATGGAATTTTGCCATGTTGCCCAGACTGGTCTTGAACAGCTAGGCTCAAACCGTCTGCCTGCCTCAGCCTCTCAAAGTGTTGGCATTTACAGGCGTGAGCCACTGAGCCTGGCCCCCCAATTTTTATATGTGTATATTCTATATTACTTTCTGAAAGAGAATATTTCCATTTAACCTAAATTATACTGACTTTAATTTTGCATATAATGCTAATGGATTGATTCTTGATTTACAGTTTTCAGAAGCGAATTGCCGATTGCCGGCTTTGGCCTGTAGAGATCACAAGAGTTCCTCTGATTGCTGTATCCAAAGGGAAAGCTGGCAAAACTGAAAAGGTAAATATGGCCCCTCAGAAATATTTATATAAGAAATGTAGAATCAGACTCAACCTGTTATTCTGCTTCAATTCTGATACCAAAGAAAATGTGAACTAATATAGCTGTTTTCCCTAGGGTGACTTGCTCATCCTGATTTGCCCTGAACTTCATTTGTTTTAGCACTGAAAGTCTCATTCCCAGGAAACTCCTCTGTCCTGGGAAAACCAGAATTATTGGCCACCCTAGTTCCCCATTGTTCACGAAAAACTCTCTAGGCTTTTGTTACCAGATACCCTATTTCTCTTTTGCCCTTCACAATAGTTTCACTATAGGTTAAACTTACCTACTTAAAATGTTTAAGCCTGCTAATTAGTGTAATAGGGATCTTAGATATACTACTATTTTGAAAAGGTACAGCTTTGATGAGCCTAGTACATATTATCTATTGTTTTAAAACTGTGCATGTCTGGTCTTTTCTGCTTGTTCATAAACTCCTGGAGGGTAGGATGTAGTAGACTGATTTGTATTCTCCACAGTACCTAGCATGATGTATGGCAAATAGCAGATACTTAATAAGTATCTGAATTGTTTCGTTGACTTTAAACATAGGCTTTTTGCATAATAAAAATGCTACTACTATATACCCATTTCTCCATTTGTAGTATATAATAAGTATTGGCTAACTTTCCTTAGATTGCTAGACTATATGTTATCACATGAACATATGACTTTTAAATCTAGTTGCTAATTATTATAAGAGGTGAAATCAAAGAGATTACTTTTATGCTTGGAATTAAATGTGTTTTCTTTCACAAAACTGATTTTTTCCTTATAAAAATTTTCTGTGGCAAACAATACAACCATTAAAAATGCTGTTAAGATATATTTATTAACACGTTCTTCATCTTTGCAATGAGAATTTAGATGAGATCAAGTATGGTAAATATAGGACAGGAGACTGTCATTCATCTGCTTTCATCCATAGCAGGTAGTGCTAATCTATCAAGGCATTCTTTGCCTTTGAACCCAGATAAATACACAGAATTTTTCTCAACCAACCATGCTAAAACACCTCCACCAATTAATGAGAATTGAGATATAAGTTAAAGCCTATTTGTCATCACTGGTCCAGATAATTTGTAAGGCCCCTTTTATTTGTATGAGTCTGTGAACTAAAACTAAAAGCCATAGCTTTTGATTTTTTATAAGTTTTTTGTTATTGTTATTATTGTTGCTTTTTATAAAGCTTTACTTTCTCCTAAAGCTTTTTTATAAAGCTTTACTTAACTTTCTCAAATTAATTAATCAATTAATTTGAGTATTTAATTAATTTGATATTTCCTGAGGTTCTTTTTAACTTGATACAAGTGTCTGCTTGTATCAACTACTGCTTTTATTATTAACACTGCATGCATTATCTCAGTGATCATCATATTATTAAACACATTTTGAAGATAAAGAAGGCCCAAAATGTCTTATGGTACTGGCCCAAAGTCACATAACTGGCTAAGTAGCAGAGTTAGTTTCTAAAACCAGGCCTTTGAACTGCTGAGTCAGAGCTCCATACCTTATACTGTATTGCTTATAGCACTAATAACTCTCTGGTTTTATTCCTTTAGGCTGATGAAGAAGGTCAGCTTTCGTTTCATGGTGTGGCTTATGTTAATATGGTCCCATTGTTGTATCCAGGTGTGAAGAAAATTCGGGGAGCTTTTCAGGTTTACCCTTACCTAGACAGTGTAGTCCATGAAAAGGTAAGAAAAAATTGCATGAAAAGCATCCTGGTAATTTATCATTTATATATGTGTTTTCTTGCGTCTTTAGTATACATGTCTTTGCAATTGATATTTAGAACCAGTTGGTATACTAGGATATTAAATATATAGCTTTTTTTTTTTTTTTTGGGATGGAGTTTCGCTCTTGTTACCCAGGCTGGAGTGCAATGGCGCAATCTCGGCTCACCGCACCCTCCGCCTCCTGGGTTCAAGCAGTTCTCCTGCCTTAGCCTCCTGAGTAGCTGAGACTACAGGCATGTGCCACCGTGCCCAGCTAATTTTTGTATTTTTAGTAGAGACTGAGTTTCACCATGTTGACCAAGATGGTCTCGATCTCTTGACCTCGTGATCCACCCGCCTCGGCCTCCCATAGTGCTGGGATTATAGGCATGAGCCACCGCGCCTGGCCATATATAGCTTTATAATCATTCTGCATTGGACCTTAAAAAATTTAGGACAATGAAAAGGCAAAAACTGAAAACAACCTAAATATCTATCAACAGGTGAACAGAGAACACAGAAAACAAATTGTGTGGTTCCTCTGTACAATGGAATACTATTCAGCAATAAAAAGGAATGAACTACTGATACATGCAACAGCACGGATGAATCTCAAATGCATTGTGCTAAAAGAAAGAAGGCAGACAAAAGAGAGAAAAGAGAGTATTTTTTTTTTAAAGAGATATGGGTCTCAGGAGTGCAGTGGCACAATCATAGCTCACTACTGCCTCAAATTCCTAGGCTCAAGGGATCCTCCTACCTCAGCCTTTTGAGTAGCTAGAACTACACCACTGTGCCTGGCTATTTTAAAAAATATTTTTTATAAAGACAGGGTCTTGAAAAGTACATTCTATATAATTACATTTATATGCAATTCTGATAAGGTAATTGATCTATATTGATAAAAAGCAGATTAATGGTTACCTGGGAACAGGGATAGAAGGAGGGATGGATTGCAAAGGAATGGGAGGAAAATATTAGGGATGATGGAAATGATGGTTATCTTGATTGTGGTGATGGCTTCATAGGTATACACATATGTCAAAATTGATGAAATTGTATACTTTAAATACGTTTAGTTTGTTTTTATTGTACTTCAATTTTACCTCAATAAATTTGAATACAAAACTTTTAGCATAAATGTTGTGGCTGGGTTTGGTGACTCACACCTGTAATCCCAGCACTGTGGGAGGTAGAAGTGGGTGGATTGCCTGAGGCTAAGAGTTTGAGACCAGCCTGGCCAACATGACAAAATCCCATCTCTACTAAAAATACAAAAATTTGCCGAGCCTGGTGCCTGTAGGCAGAGGTTGCAGTGAGCCAAAATTGCACCTCTGTACACCACCCTGGATGACAGAGCAAGACTCTCTCAAAAAGTATATATAAGAAAAAGAAAAAAAAGCCTGTTAAGTATGGAAAAACCGAAATCCATGTGGTAATTAATGAACTAGAATTTTTTTTTTCCATTTTTAGGTGTTAAAATGTTAAAATCATATATATGTATTCAAGCAAAAAGGCAGTTTTATCATGTTGCTTCCCAGCAGAAAGTGAGGCTTTGTAAAACACACAACAATAACAAAAATGTACTATTACATCACTGTTATTAGGACAGCTATTTTTCAACAATAAATTCATGAAAACCCCATCATCTAGTTGCAGATGAATAGTAAACTGTTTGTACAACAGTATCTTTTGAACTAGAAGTCACATTTGTAGGAATTTATTTACTTATTTAATTTTATTTTTTTTGAGAGGTGGAGTTTCACTCTTGTTGCCCAAGCTGGAGTACAATGGCATGACCTCGGCTCACTGCAACCTCCACCTCCTGGGTTCAAGTGATTCTTCTGCCTCGGCCTCCTGAGTAGCTGGGATTATAGGCATGCACCACCACACTCAGCTAATTTATTGTATTTTTAGTAGAAACAGGGTTTTACCACGTTAGCCAGGCTGGTCGTGAACTCCTGGCCTCAGGTGATCTGCCCGTCTCAGCCTCCCCAAGTGCTAGGATTACAGGTGTGAGCCATTGTGCCCAGCCAGGAATTTATTTTAAGGACATAATTTAATAAGTTCAAAAATCTCATATTTATGAAACTTTTTGAAACCTATGATAGCAAAAACTAAAATAAGGTTAAATGTTTACTAATAGAGGAAGGCTTAGTAAATCATAGTAAATAAAAAGGATGAAATGTGTAGCCATTAAAAAGGATAATTATTAATGCTTTATAGGCCTCGTATCATGGCTCATGCATGTAATCCCAGCACTTTGGGAGGCCGAGGCAGGCGGATTACAAGGTTAAGAGATCGAGACCACCCTGGCCAACATGGTAAAACCCAGTCTGTATTGAAAATACAAAAATTAGCTGGATGTGATAGCACACTCCTGTAGTCCTAGCTATTCAGGAGGCTGAGGCAGGAGAATCGCTTGAACCAGGAGGCGAAGGTTGCAGAGAACGGAGATGGCGACTCTGCATTCCAGCCTGGCGACAGAGCGAGACGCCATCTTAAAAAAAGAGAAAAGGATTATTAATGCTTTATAGATAGTTAAATGGGAAAGAAGGCTGGGCATGGCGGCTCACACCTGTAATCCCAGCAATTCAGGAGACTGAAGTGGGAGGATCAGTTGAGCCCAGGAATTCAAGACCAGCCAGGGCAACATGGTGGGACCCCATCTCTACAAAATTGTTTTGTAAATTAGCAGAGTATGGTGGCACATGCCTGTAGTCTTAGTGACTCCAGATGCTGAGGTAGGAGAACTGATTGAGCCCAGAAGGTCAAGGCTGCAGTAAGCTCTGATCATGCCTGAGTGACAGAGTTGACACCCTGTCTCAAAAAAAATAAAAAAAAAAAATAAATGACAGAGAAGAATGCAAAAATGTTACATATAACATAGATCAAAATAAATTTCAAATGAATTTATTAAAATAAGTTAAATGTGGCCAGGCGCAGTGGCTCACGCCTGTAATCCTAGCACTTTGGGAGGCTGAAGCAGGCAGATCACAATGTGAGGAGATCAAGACCATCCTGGCCAACATGGTGAAACCTTGTCTCTACTAAAAATACAAAAATTAGCTGGGTGTGGTGGCGCATGCCTGTAATCCCAGCCGCTTGGGAGGCTGAGGCAGGAGAATGGCTTGAACCAGGGAGTTGGGAGGTTGCAATGAACTGAGATCGTGCCACTGCACTCTAGCCTGGAGATAGAGTGAGACTCTGTCTCAACAAAAAAAGAAAAAAA